TGCAAAGATCAAAAAGCCTGTAGTTGATGCAGTCAAAAGATCCGGTATCGAATATACAATGTTCTTAAATGGGTTATTTATGGATTATTTTGCTTTTCCCCAGAAAAGTAATCCTTATCTGCCTCCAATGGTTCTTGCCGTTAATATCAATGAGTGCTCTGCATGGTTCGCAGGTACAGGCGATGAACCAGTCAATATGACATTGCTAGAAGACGTCGCTAAGTTTGTCGTTGCATCGCTCGATCTGGACAAATGGGAACCTTATTCAGGCATTGTCGGTTCTCGAACAAGCTGGAATGAAATCATTCGCTTGGGAGAAAAAGTACGTGGACAAAAGTTTAATATCAAACGGCAAACAATAGAAGAAATGCTTAGCACGCGCAATCCAAAGCCTACTAGTATCGTCGATAATTTATATCAAGAAGCGATGGTTCAGTTTGCGCAAGGTGAAGTCGAATATGAACCGACCTTAAACAAGCGCTTTCCATCAATACAGCCGACCAAGATCGACGAGTTCTTACAGAAATGGTGGGGTAATAAACAAGGACAAGTCTTGTAAATCCAGGTATAGGCCTGATAATGAGATTATTTAACCAAAACATTTTTTAACTTCATGCTGATGTAATATGTTGTTTAACTCTAGGCACTTGTTTGTGTTTTTAAATTGATGGGAAGCGAAGCAATAAATAGTTGATCTTATCAGCAACTTTTATTGGCTTCTTGGAGAGAGAAGTGAGTCCATGGGATTTATACCATGTTGTTAGAGTATTGGTGTAGATGAGGACGAGTCTTCTCTCTACTCATTCATCAGTTCATCCCATCCAAGTCTTGTTATCCCCATGGATCAGTTGATTGCTAGTATTGTTAATGAATTCGAACATTTTGAATCGATCATCACATTCAGTTTGGCGGAGATTATGCTCTCCAAGCAGCTAAACACCAGTTGCTGGTTTATTATAATAGTTGTCCCCAAATTCCTTCCTATACGCCATTTATCACATTTCATTGGTGACAAACATCAGACAAGGACTCAGAGTTAACCGCTTGTTGGTCATTGAATCTTTTCTTTGACTTGCTTCACTACTTTTAGGTACCATACAAACTAGGACGATGTCAAATTCTCAACAACTTAAATGAAGAATTCAGAACGTTTTTCTTCGTTCGTTCAAAAACGACTTATCCCAACAAATTAATTCAAAAATTTGAAATTGAAACTCGATTGGTTCGGAATCAAAATAATTCGTATCTTGGTGTTATCGAGCACACAATGATTGATGTGGTGAAGAGAAGTCTTTGTCAGAGTCGTACCTTCCAATGAGGACATGACTTTCTGTGGTTTTGGCTGTGTGTGACGATGAATGTGAGTGTGTATTTTCTGCTACACTCACATTCACACCCCAAATGAAAGTCAAGTTAGGCATACGGAAGAAGTGAAAAATTAAGAATATTTTTTGCAATAGTTCGAGTATTCTTGCTTATGCAGCGATTTCTCTTCTCTTCATTCCGACTACGTGTACGCAAACTAGAATACATTTGTTGCTTTCTTCATCTAACACATGAATCGAATGAGGTGCGAAATAGGAATAACAGACGCCAGTAGTGTAGCGGTTAGCACTCTTGTCTCATAAGCAAGCGGCCCAGCGTTCGAATCCTGGTTGGCGTTGTCTTTTTCTTTCTTGTACACTGCTGTTTAGAATATTGCGCAATATTCTCTGTTCTGTGTGCCGGGAGTTGCGACATATTTCGTACGAAGCAATCGAAAGCAACACGTGTTCTATCCTACTCTGAATCTGCCGTTGACTTTGAAGCACAACTCGAATTATGCGTTAACTCAGGTGTCTATGAGACCTGTAATATTAGCAATTCCCATTCAATGTCATTGTGGAATTTTTACTTTCTCGAAAAGTCATTAAGCAACTTCTCCAAGATTTTTAAGCTGAAATCTATCGTTGATAGATTTTATAATATTTATCAAATATTTGGTCTACCATAAACGGAAGTTTCAATACCAGTTTCAGAGGAAAATTTTCTTGCAGAAATACGAAAATCATGTGCGATTGCGAAGATGTTGAAAAATAATTCCATTTCCATAGAAAGTCACTCTGGATATATGAAGGAAGTAGAACATCAACAAAGGGTGTGGGTGTGGGCGGAATGCCAGTGTTGGTGTGGCTGTCTGTTCTGAAACACCCACACCCACATCCTCTGTTCAGAGCGTGGTGTCACATTTTTGAAGACTTAGCAAAAATAAATTTCATCGAATTCATCTTAGAACTTGAGCTGCAAATGTGATCTATATCCTTATTTATATCGATTTATCGAACTACCGAGTTAACTTTCATGAGCTTTAACCCTAGTACTACTAGCCTTTTATAAAATATTTGGACGGTTCGCTGAAAATTATATGAAAAAAGGAAATTTCAATCTACAAGTCACAAGTAAATGAAGAAACACCAGATAAACTAATATTAATTGAAACAATAAAGTGATATATGAAGTTGAATAAAAAAAAACTATCTCCTTTTATCATAATTTTACAAGTTTTCACTATGAGATCTTGATCTCATTACTCATAAAATATACAGTATGATAGAGAGGTAAGTCATACCTTTTGATCTACAATGATATATATCATCTACCATGATGATTGGATAGCTCGAAACCTTCCAAACAATGTCTCTAAGTGGATTAGAAATATATATCCACTTAGATTAGTGAGTGAGTCATTGGATTATATATTGCAAGTTTTACTTTCTCTCCTTTCTTGTTATATGTTTGTTGTGTACTGAAGACATGGTCTTCTATCAAAAGTTGGTAATGTTATGGACAATAAATGCATTTCTTTTTAGATTCAACAACGTATATCTATACGTAAGGGATGCTATTTGACTCTAAAAACCAGGAAAAAAAGGATATTTCTAGTGTATTTTTAAATTTTTGAGCTGGGGTTAAAAATGATCCCCGCTGATAGTACTAGGGTTAATATAAATGGAACTTGTTTCTTATTTTTGTGCAATTATTTCATCGTAAGGATTCACGTTTGATTAGACATATGTAGTATAATAATTTGATTCATTACTTTCTTTTGTCCTACGAACAAATATTTCACCGATTGTGGGTGTGGGTAAGGATATGATCCACACTACACACTCACACTCAACTAGGTACTATTGCACAGTATTTTTAGGCACCCTGTTACCAAAATTGTAGTATGTTGATGATCGAACCTAACCTTTGACTTTTTTCATTTTTGTTTCTCTCAAAACAATTTATGACATTTTTTCGATTTTATTTAATTTGATTTTTCCAATTCAGAAAACTTAAGCAGGTCAAATTTCGGAATCTGACCGGACCTCAGTTGGTCGGATCTCCATCAGACCACTTCAAGGTAGTCCTCTGTCAACTGACGATCAAGATCGGTATGTCCTCGACTAGTCAATAGTCAAGAAATAATCTAGAAAAAATTAGTATGAAAAAATATTAATTTCTTATGTTTTGTCGAGTTGTTTATATGAAGTCGTGCGTGCAAAAGAAAATGGTGCATGAACAGTTGCTACACAGAACGTGACGAATCTAGGATACACTGTAGAGCTTCTCTCAGTAAAATTACAGGTGCGGGTACCCATACAAGTACTTGTTCAGTAAACATACTATTATGGGTCCCCAATGCAGTACCTACATCAGTATAATTACTGAGATTTTTCGAAGTACCCATATCGAGTACCTTGCTGAGACTTTCTTAGTACATAGGTACCCTTAGCTCAGTACATTCACTAGGGTAACATTTTGTTTTCTTATTTTCTTCCAACATTCAGATGAAAATAAAATCAAACGATGCCTTTAACTTTCTCATAGTGAATGAGATAGAAGAAAGAAAATCTTGTTTTTAGACTAATATGCCTTATGTCTTTCCTTTACGATAATTGTATAAAAAAGTTTTTTGTTTTCTTTAGATTTCATGCCGATTGCAATGTTATTTTGTGTAAGAAAGAAAAAAAAAAGGAAAGGATGATTGCGTGCATATTGACCATGACTTACTCCGATTTATTTTTTTTTGTATCTGCTCAAGTTGTATCTCATATCAGTCATGTCATAGACATGAGAAGAATCTTTCAAAGAAAAACTTTTTTTATTCCTTGAAAAAGAATCTCGGAAAGCAACAGAACACCAATTATCTCAGTTTGGTTATTTTACCATCTTCATAACTTAAATGAAACACTATGGATCTTTTTGTTATAGAATGAATTTAAATAAGAGACAAATATAAAATCAATGAAGAATTCGATAATGTAACAGATAATATGATCGGATTGATCGTTTTCTTTCTCATTAATTGATTATTATATAACGGTTGGTCATACATCGAATTTAAATGAGGCACAAAGAAACAAAATCAATACTCGATCAATAAATAACATTACAGTCATATTAACACGAGATACTTATTAGTAAATCACACTTATATGTTAGTAGAATATCTTCGCTTAATCGATCGATGAGTACACGTTCATTCCTGAAAATATCAATCAGTGTCGAATATTCCTGCTATTCATATTTCACACTTTGATGAAGCCCTTTCAAAACATAAATCGCCTGAATCTGAGGAAAATCATTTAAATATAATGCAACTCACAAGAAATCCACTAAAACGCGAAATATTTTTTTTGTGTACTTGGGAATTTTATTATATAATCAATACAGATTTCATATGAATTACATTGCTTGAAATAGTCGACAAAATATAGTAATTTATTTGAAACATAATCTAAATCAAACCAAAAGTAAATAAAATCATTATGATTTTGTGTTACATTTAATGTTGTTAAAGATCAATTGAAATTAGTCATATTTGTTCAGACAAATTTGTTCTGTTAGAATACAAAATGAATGTTTATTAAGAGAGAAAAGATAAGAAAAATAATTTTTTTCAAATAATTTATTAGTCGAAAATTTTAATTTTAAAGTACAATCAACAGTCACTTTTAAGTGGTTCGTATATTTTATGATATAATACATGCACCAGATTGAATTTGTTGACGTAATGCTTCTTCAACAGCTTGTCGTCGTCGTTGTAGATTGTATTGATAAGTTAGACGTTGCATGGGTCCATAATAATTTGCTTGCATCCATGATCTTTTATATGTCATTATTCTTTTAACTTGTCTTCGTTGTCCAGCAATAACAATTGCATTGACAGCCATCAATTGAAAACGAACTTGACTTATTTCATAAAATTCATTACCTGACCCAGGTCCAGTTAGAGCATCATTTTCAAAAAAGACTTTGTCTTCAAATTCATCAGGACTTAATGCTATACACAAGAGAAATACATATCGCTGTTCATTTTCTGATAGACTCCAATAGTTTTTATAATCACTATATCGATCCATATCATTATCATCATATTCAATAGCTGTAAAGACACAGCTTAAATAGTACATACATCTAGCTATGTCATTATCCGGTACTGATACCCGTCTTCCAATACGTTCAAAATTAGGATCACCACTAAATTCAAAAAAATTCGCCATTAGACAATGTAAGACGACTATTGATTTGAGTCACTTGGAAAAAACCCCAGTTATCTATTCAAATACAGCTTTTATAACAATTCTTAATAAATATTTACTCGACATCTTTTTCTTCTCTTACTTCCTAGATAACAGTAATAAAATATCTTTGTATCACATTTCTTTATAACATGTAATTTTTCTATTGAAAAGATGGGTGTCAGTGTGGGTGTGGGTGTCACTAAAGATTATACGCACACCCTAGCCACCCAACACCCACCCACACTCACACACCCATACCCCGCCCACCCACATCGACACCCACACCCACACACCCTACAAGTTATATGATATGCACGACGCGTTCAAAAGGTTTCCAGACTGATTTTTATTTCAAACAAAACAATAAGAAGCATTGTTGAATTCGTATTCTTACCTATGGGTAATTCATATAATTCTGAAACTGTATGCGCGCGCGACGCTCTACTGCATGAAACATATATATGAAAAAATAGAAATAGATTTTAGGCTACCTTCCTTACACCGACACAAAATCATAAAACTTGACTATCGTTCAAAGATGAAATTTCACGTTCTTTTAAGACCATATCTCATTTAATAGGCATTCACGTGTAGAACCCTTTTATGTTCATCTATTCTTCAACAATCACCATCGATTTTGAAGGAGATCATCATCTGGAAAGTAGACTATCGTGAATTGATAATACTTTTGGATATAAATAGTATAAATATTAAATCTTTCTATAAGTCTGATGGTCGAAGAAGGTCAAGTCGGATCTGAGTGAATATGAAACATTATTCGCATTAGAAATGTATATTGTAAAATGTAACGAATGATCAATCACACATGACTGAAGTCAGTTCACAAGAAGGTCAGATTCTCTAATACAATATCAATAACGTGTTAATCATATGTAGAACAATCATTAATAATTCATTATTGCTACTTCAAAAACAAATTCAATTAAATATCATAGTATTTAATAAAGCATTATTATTATAAACTGTCACCATATAATCATAAATTTTGAATGGCAGCTGCTCTTTCTAAGTACACAACTTTGCTCAAGATGTACGTTTTATATGATTTTATAAAGAGTGGTCTAAAATATATTTCTTCTTTTTCATACATATGTTTCATATAGTAGAGCTTATCATGTGTAGTGATAAAGGATTTGGTATGAATGTATGTTTCAATAGAGGATGAACACCCTCAAGTTTGACATTTTTGACTTGCAAATGCATCGTTTTTTATTTGATCAGAGAAGTTTGTATTACTAGTAATAGATATGAAAACTTTGATAACTCATTATCATGCCTAAAAAAATTAAAGAAGACCACTATCCCAGTTACTATCTCTCGAAAATAAATCGAGTCAGTTCTAAAGCTGCTTATTTGGAAATTGGAAAAAAATTCTCAATCTAAGAGTTTCTCTAAGGTCAAAAATTCTCAGTATTAAGATACTGTATCATTTAGAAGTAGGTATTACAAAAAAGAAAACTTGATTCAATTGTTGTTTCCTGGTTACCATTCTTCTACAAATATCGATCGAGCGTAGATGTGGGTCTGCACTATCAGTAAATGAAAACTCACGAACACACACCCACACGCGCTAATAGCTTTTTCATAAACAAAATTAAGTGGAGCCTATATATTAAATGCTTCACAGGCAGCTAACTTCATGTTTACCAAGGTACAGAGAGAAAAAAAACTTTTTCTCTGTATTTTTTTGATGGGCAAGATAAAAGAGAAGAGCTTATAGTTTCTATCGATCATAGATTAATAGCTTTCTATCTTCCAAGGCATAGTGAGAAACATTTTTCTTACTGCATGGTTTGCCTTTATTTTCTGATAGACAGAATAAATGTTTCACGGGTTAGTAGCTTTCTCTTTCGTTAGGTATCTAAAAAAGAAATATTTCTTCTCTCTCTCTATGGTGTGTCTGTATTTTTTCATAGACAGAAAAAAAGAGGGAAGCCTAGAGATTTTATCGGTCACATGTTAATAGCTTGTTGCTCTCTAAGGTGTAGAAAGAAAATTTTGTTTTTGTCTCTGTACGATCTGCCTTTATATTTTGATAGAAAGAATTAAAATATCAAACCTAAAGAATAAATACTTCACAGGTTAGTAGCCTTCTCTTTCTTGAAGTATCAAAAAAAGAAATATTTTTTCTCTCTGTATGGTCTACCTGTATATTTTTGATGAATGAAATAAAAGAGAGGAGTCTATAATTAGATTCTATCGATGATAGGTTAATAGCTTTCTCTCTCGCTACAGGTATAGAAGAAAAAAAATCTATTTTTCCTATACACTCTGTCTGTATATTTTTGTATAGACAAACTAAAAGAGAAAAACCTATAAATTCTATCGATCGCAGATAAATAGCTTCATTCCCCCAAACTATCGAGACAATTTTTTTCTTCTCTGTAGGTCTGCCTGTATTTTTTCATAGACAAAATTAAGAAGCGCACCCTATACATTAAATTTTTCACAGGTAACTAGCTTTATTTTTCTCTAAGTATTGAATAGGGATTGTATTTGACCTTTATTTTACTTTGAAACAGTAAAGTAAAATAAAATAATATATTAGAGTTAAGTTTACAATTCATTTATTAGTCCATTATCATCTATTGATAATGTTGCAATATATATAAGTTTATTCAAAATCAATTTCCTTATAATGATTAGTGGAAAATAAAACGAAATAAAAATGAAAAGTCAATTTTTTTTATGAGCTAATACTTCAAAACCTGGCTATTTTTCACGTACTACAGATAATATTCTACATGAATTTTATCTGAATAAATTTGAGCTGCATTTTACAAATGCAAATAATAAAGTTAACCTGTGCTCCTTTTTACTTATTTCAGAGTTCCTTATTATAAGGTAGCATACTGCCATCACAAGCCATAAGATTTCGAATTTGCTTTTTTTTTTATAAATTACGCCGACAAAAACTGATCACTATATTAACTAACCATATTGAGAGGCGAAGAGTTCCTGTTACCAGACAGTTACATTATTAAACAACGGAGTTTAGTGAAAAAATCAAATCCACGAATTTTTGTGACTCTGCTACTCATGACTTAATAACATAACTGTCTAGTAATTGTAGGCACATCTTGAAAAGTAAATTGTTTTTTGCATCAAAACGAGCAATATCTGAACGTCAAATTTCTGTATTAGATATATTTTTTCAGAACAAATCAGATAAGAAGGAAAAATTAAAAACCAAATACCTTCAAAAAAATTCTTGCAACTTGTTCATCGAACATCATCAGTTTTTTATTTTGATTAATTTTTTTTTGGTGTCAGCAGAGAATGAAAAGACACTTTCAATGATAAATTTTTGTAGCCTAAGGGTGTTCTTGTTAATCGTGTATTGGAAGCTAAATTTGTTCCTAGTTTAAATATGAATATATTGTTTTGTGTCTAGAAGAGACTGAATAATTAGATTGCTCTCATTACCCAGTCATTTATAGCGATAAAAAAAGGACTCATTAAACAATTCTTTTTTTGGTTAAATTTCTCTGATCTGACATATTTCGAACGAATAATGTGAAATAAATTGACTTCATATGTAGTTTTTGAAGATGGTAACTAATATTCTTTTTGATTATTAATTCTTGGAAAAACGTCTTTTGTTACAAAAATTTCATTAGTCATATTTTTTCGATTAAAGAATGAAGAATGAATCTAACCCTTATTTAACGACGTTGATATCAAAAGAATTTTTCATACGTTACATTTTGATGTATCTTTTTGTGAGAGCCTAGCCCATGTAGCCTAAGATAATCGTGAAACATATATTTTTCAAGCTGCAAAAAAGTTACAAAATATTTTTTAGAGGTGTTTAATTTTTGACTTTTTCCTTCTTCTCGGGTTCTTTCTGAAAAAAGTATAGCTCGTACAAAATTTGAAGTTCAGATATTGCTCGTTTTAATGAGAAAACCAATTTGCTTTCCAAGATGTTCCTAAGCAAAGAATTATGACTGAAGATTTTGGCAATTACTTTTGCTGCATAGTAGGTTATTCTAACTAAGTGAGAGAGTCTCGTTAAATGTTCTCAGAAAACAAGCTTGGTAGCCAACACATATGGATATCAAAGAGGAGTTTTTGAATCAAAGCTTTTCTTCTATTCATTAGTCATGTCAATTGTGTCTGGAAAAAGATTCTAAGTGTTAGATATTATTAGCATTGACTGAAGACTATATTTGCATGAAGCAGATATTTCGAAAATGGCCAATTCAACTTTTTCTCTATGATTATTATTTCAAGTAATTTTTACATGTTTTTTAGGGAACTATGTCAAAAGAATATTACCATGGTGATTCTAATCGTGACAATCATTTTTGGGTTTATCCAAAAGATAAAGAATTAATAACTCCTCGTTGGGATACTTACAAAGCATCTGATATATGCGATAATTGTACGCATATTGACACTGATTCAGAATCTCAAATAGAAACATATCAATGCAATGGTCATAACAAGTGAGTAATGAGCACAATCAAAATGTAACTTTCTTTAAATTAAATCTGAACTAATCTTCTGATTTTTGTAGAGCGGCGGGTAGTGGTGTTACTCAAGCCCGAATTCCTTTTAGAAGAAAAGGATGATGTTAAGGAACAGGCGTAAGGCCTTATTACATTTTCTAAAAATAAAAAATCAAGATGCTTATTTTTCTTTTCTTTTTTTTTCTCTTATATGTTACACTGCTGTTTTATATGCATGTTTTTGACTACAACAACTATTTGTGTTTTTCGATGTTGATTCTTGTGTAGATAGTAAAACAAAACGATGATAGTTAAAATCGAAAGTTGTTTCCTCAACGGATTTTAACTTGAAAATAATTTTATTGTTTTGCTTCTTCACAAGTATTCCATTCAGTTAAAATCTGTGTTTGCTAGTATAATGTATGAAGCTTACTAACATTTGATTCAATAAATTTTTAACACGTTTGTTTCAATTCTAAAACGTTGATGTACGAAAAAGAACAGGATAGAGAAAAAATTTATCGTTAATTGGAATTTCTCTGATTGAATGGTATGGTAATATTGAGCCTACATCAATGGAGTCAATGATGAAGTAGAGATAAATTTCTATTTTACACTCGCATAGTTTGTTGCATAGTAAGTTATCTTTTGTTATTTAATCTATAATGCAAACTTTTTCAACTGATATCATTAATGTATGAAAAAATTGCCTTTTTTTTTTTTAATATAAAAATTAAATGGAATATATGCATCAGAAGAAAAATAGAGTCGTATTTATGAAATTCATTGTCTATCGATACTATTGAATCGATGTGTTTTTCTTGTCAATGTTTAATACTGATTCCATTTCTATATCATCAACATCGTTCATATTCTCAGTTAGTTCTTGTACAGCAGGATCATCATTCTTGCTACATTCAGCGTTCAATGAGTCACGACGCAATATTCCACTATATTAGATAATTCGATTGGACTGTCGCTGATTTATCTACTAGGATATCAAGCAAGAGAAACAAGTTTGGTATATCTGTACTTATAAAGCTAGAAACCTTCGATCAACTAGGATATGGGTGTGAGTGGGGTTGATGTGCATGTTGATGTTGATTATCTCTTAAAAAGATTCACACAAATCAAATTCTTTTATATAATTTTGAAATTAACCGTCTTAAAAGAATAATATCACAGTCAAAATCTGTTTTAGCAGTACGTCAGATGTTAAGGCAATAGAATCAATAAAATAAATGGAGAAATACCAATCAATTCAGTGTACAAGCCAGATAAAGATCCATGAGGTCTTACAGTCTACTCAAGTTTTAGCATATATTCACAGGAGAGTATACATCTGCATCTTCCCCATGTCCACTTTCATCCACATCTACATTATATTAAAGGTGAAAAAGCAAAGATAGTTTTATATTGAAAAGTTTTTGGTTTTCAAACTTAAAAATCAAAAGATACAGGTGACTTTGAATTCACTAACGGTTTTGAATGATGTCAATTATGTTGCCGAACATTTGTGAAGTCAATAAATTGACAATAATGATAATCAATAATATACGTTTAACTTGATTATAATCTATTTTAATAAATATTCTTCATAGTAAGAACAGTTTGATTTCGCTTCTGAAAATCCATTTAAATGTACTTTTTACTCACAATATCTCAAATATATTTATGTTTATTAACAATCAAGCAAAAATTCTTATCGTAGATTGAAAAACATTTTTACAAAAACTTTAAACAGATTTAATCGAAATAAAAATGCTACTAAAAAGAAAAAACGAAGTTTAAGTGAAAAATGATAACAATTAAAGATTATTGTTAAACATTTTTTAATCTAGATGAACGAAATCTTTACTATTCACTTCATCGTTACTTTCTTCAACACATAATCTTTTCATAGAACGTGTAACACAATCACTTGCAAGCGGTGTTGCTAATTGATTCAAATCAAAATCATTAAAATCTGATCGAAGCCAATCTAACATTTCGAATTTAACTACAGGTGCTAATGCTGATGCTGGTGTCAATGATCGAATTTCATTTGACTCGATTATTATAGCATTTATTGCTATTGACGGTGGTAATCTATCCTCTTGATCATGATCGAAATTTTCATAATTTTGTGCATGAATTTTGTAATGATTTTTCATACGGGTGTTGGTGTAATGATTTAGGTTATCCACACCCACACCCACATCCACCCTTTCTAAAACGAATTTTCGAAGATGAAAATGATTTACAGCTTTCTGAGGATGGAATCTTTAAAAAATCAAAAAAAATATAAAACAAATTTTTCATCTCTTTGAATTACTCAGAATGATTGAGTAAATAAACATCTACAACATGAAATGTCTCCTAGCTCTATATGACATTTTTTCATCGAAATATATTATCTTACAAAGGGCATAAGAGTCGTTCTTTTTCCTGCTATTTAATTTAGAAATATCATTTTTGTGTTTTCCATAAGATTTATATATCTCAATCAAAAAATGTCGTAGAGGCCTGGAAGACATTTCATTGTGTAGAGAATTATTTACTCTATCATTCTAGGTAATCTAAACAAAATTCCAGAAGATGAAAAATTTGGTTTTTGGACGTAAGTGAAGTTAGCAAACGATTCGAGTAATTCCAGCAGCAATTGGTTTAGGAAGTATTCCAAGTATTCTTATTTGTGTTCTAAGTAGATTTCATCGTTCTCTATCAAATGATGAAATCAGATTCACTGTAGCTTAAATCATACTCTCACAGATTGGAAAATACTGGTTTTCCATAATAGATTTCACAAGTACCACGGAGTAATTTCAGCACAGATAGGACAAGGGTTTTCCAATTCTCTTTCTCTCTGTTCAAATCAGATAGCGAGAAGATTCACGGATTGTATGTTCCAAAAACAATATTTTCCAATCTATGAGAGTATGGTTTAGGAAAGAATGAATCTGATTTTGCTATTCGATATAGTACGTCGAAATCTACTTGGAACACAAATAAGAACACTTGGAGCGTTTCCTGAACGAATCACCGCTAGGATTATTCGAATTGGCTACTAACTTCATCTACGTGATTTTTGGTTTTTCAGAGAGACTATCCTTGAAAAACCAGCTATCATTTTCTTCTTCGAAAATTCTCGTTAGAAATAAAATTTTCTACACACACCACCATTTGGATTCTTATTAGCGTTGATGGCAGTGGAATAGAATTGAAAACAAACTTGACTGCATAATTTTACGAGCCATTTTAGGATGCTGCAGACCCGGACGCGACTGGTAGAGCCTATAGGGTCCAAAAATTTTCGAACTCAGATTCAGATCTGACAGGCTAAACTTTTTTGGGCCCGGACTCGGTCGATCAAAATTTTGGATTCCAATCTGATTGATTAATATTTTGTAAGAAGAGTCCATCGGCTCCAAAAATTTCTGAAATCAACAACATAAAAAAAATGAATCGCGTCTATCGTAGTTTTGTTAACAGCGTCATATAAGTTTACTTTTCTGTGATGACACCGATGAGATAACACATCCGACTGATAATCTCTGTTGAAGCTCATATTCTGCTCATAGTATAGATAAAAATCTTGAAGAAATTTGTGCCATTAAGCTTTTCTTCTCGAGTTATGGCCATTTTACTGAACTTTCAGCCTATTGCAGGAAATCACAACAAGGAGTTTCATTCGGAAAGTTTCAGATCAAACGGATGTTTTCCTTATGAGATAACATGTATGCAAGAAACATAACTTTCACACAAGAGTTCTAAAAATAGTCCAATTTTTAGGTATATGATATCTCAAGAAGAAATCATCTGTTTGAACTGAAACTGGATCATGAGTAGACTTCTGCAAAATGGTCACGGTCACGGTCACGGTCACGGTCACGGCGTCTCGTGACCGTGACCGTGACTAGTTTTCGAAAAATTGGCGTGACTGGGATCGTGACCGTGACTAAATAGCTCGTGACCGTGACCAAATGGCTCGTGACCGTGACCAAATGGCTCGTGACCGTGACTTAACAGTGAAAAATTTTGATACTAAAAGTCTGATTTTTGTGAAAAAAAATCAAAATTTTAATTGATTTATGGGTTTTCTTTGTTTTGTTACAGGAAAAATCTACGAAATCAATTTAAATCTTGATTTTGTAGCACAAAAATCCAGCTAGTAATCCAAAATTTCCGTGGCCGTGACGTGACCGTGACTAGTTTCGAAAAATTTCCGTGACTATGAACGTGACCGTGACCAGCTAGCTCGTGACCGTGACGTGATCGTGACTAGTTTCGAAAAATATTCGTGACTATGAACGTGACCGTGACCAAGCAGCTCGTGACCGTGACGTGACGTGACTGAAAAATCGTGGTCACGCAGAAGTCTAATCATGAGAGCTATTGTTGAGAAAAATTGCAAGACGAAACTCCTTGTTGCAATTTTTCTTGTGACTTCCTACAGTAGGCTGAAGGTACAGTAAAATGACCATAACTCAAGAAGGAACGCGTAATGGTATGAATCCTTTCAGGATTTTTATCTACACTATATTGATGTTTCATATGTAACATTCTAAAAGATATATATTATTATAAGTAAATTTGATAGTTGACTCTTGTTGTTTTTATTTAACAAACAACAATTACACACACAAAAAAAACGAGACAAGATTCTTTATTAGAATAGATTAATGTTAATAATATATTGCTTTGTCTTATAGATACAATGAAGCTGCAAAAACAATATCACGTTTGATCTTTTGTGTACCTGATAAAATACAAAATGATTTATTTTCTTTAGTAATAAAATCTTAAAATAATACCTTCAGTAAATTTTGCTTCAAGTTCACTATTACCAATAGCTTTAGCAGCACAACACATTTGTCGAAGAAGTTCTTCAAGTCGTCGCATACAACGTACAATAGATCCTATCGAATAAATTAAACAAAAAAAAACACAAATTTTTGTTTTTTTGTTGTTCATTTTGATTTTATATTTTAATTGATAATTACCTTCGAAAATTGTTGTCATTTTACAAATACTAGCAAAACTTTGTCCATCTACCCATGCTTTAACAACATCCATCATATATGGTTTAAATCCATCAACATAACGTTCTTCATCCATATCAATTTTACTTTCAATTGATACTCGTGCTACGCGACGAGCTGTTTCCTACAATACAGTGAAACCTCTATGTTTGAGCATTCTCTTATACTGAACAGTAGTGTCCTTCAAATCAATCCGGCTTTGCGTATGAAATCATAGCCGGATTCGATCCAGCAGTTAATGAGATCTCGACGTTTCAGTATATTTTTACTTTTTCCAACTGCTAATTTATATAAAAGCATAGAAGTGAAAACTAGGGTTGTACAAGTCATGCTCATATGAGCATGAGCGTTTCTTCTCTGAATCGAATAAGTGAGATACGAATAATAATCAGCCAACTTTTACTTATGTTCATATAGTTTCTCACTTCATGAAGCTCACTGCTCCGACTAACAACAGAACTTGAGGAACTAAAAACATCCTCACTCATTGTTCTGTTGAAGAGTAGGAATGAACCATTTTTTTAAAATTTAATTTAGTTAAGTTACGTAGTAAGTGGGTTTATTTAACATTTAATATTAAGTTTAGATGATGGCGTTAAGCAATTTTTCTCTTCTACGTTACTGACTAGACCCTATCGAATCCTAGCCGGACTCTACTATGGACTCAATACGGAGTTGCCCGAGCCACTTAAGAGAGTTCTCCTGATAAGTTCGGGCAATAATATACTTTGTTCTTACAATGGGAAAGAAATCGTTTACTAAAATCTGATTGGTTAGGAGCATTTTTCTTTCAACCAATCAGATTTCTGCGAACGATTTCCTCTGAAACTGTGAGAAGACAATATAACGTTGTGTGGGGCATATTGCTAATGAACTCGAACAGCACGATACTTTGCCCTTAAAATAATGGAGAAAACTGTGCTCAAATCTGATTGGTTGAAATAAAAATGCTTCTAGCCAATCCGATATCAGCAAACAATTTCTTCACTATAATAAGAACTACACATATTCTTGTCTGAGCTTATCAAGGAATCTCTCTTAAATGGCTCGGACAACATCATGTTGAGTCCGTATTGTATTAGGGAAAAATTGTCTAACACAATCACTTAATGTTCAGTGAACTCGTCCATTCCTATGCTGATCATCACTTATAGTTTTTAACTTGTATGAAACACTTTCAAGCAGGGCTAAATGTTCAAATATTTTCACCTAAAACTTTCAGACCACACGTTAGTAGGGACAATCCAATCGGAAATGTGATTAGAGTTCGATGGTTCCCAAAATACCACGTGGAACTGAAACTATTAAATCATCAGATAAATACAAAAATTTATTTTGACAAATTTTTCGTGTGTTCTCTTAGAAAATAAATTCACAACATCCCCGACTTCTTTTGCAATCTTGACTCTAATAGAAAAATATATACATACTTGCAAAAGACGTAATGGTCCTGATAATTCTTGTGGTAACTTAGGCATTTCATTAGCTTTTTCTTGAAAAACAAAACAACTAAGTAAAGCACATGCTTGACTAACAGTTAAATCATTAAAAACTCCATTAAATAAAAGTTCAGTCGTAACAAGTTCATCACCAGTATCAATTTCACATGCAACACGTCCTTTTAAATCAATAACATCAGCTGAATTACAATAACCTAAACGACGTAAAACACGTTTATGCCTTTTTAAATCACCTATTTGTAATAATGATTGTGCTTTTTTTAATTCATTTTTAGCATCCATAACTTGTTTTTCAATATGTGCTTTACGTTCATATTGTTCATAAATATATATTAATTGAGAATTTTTTGTTAATGGATGTTCATCAAGACGTGTTTGTAATGTAGAATATTGTTTTATATATGATATCATATCACTTGATTTAATACCCATATCTCGTATTGGATCAAGTAATGGTAAACCAACTGGATGACGTCCTATTATATCTTGAACTGATTTTAATATAGTTTGTCGAGATTCTTTTGTTCGTAAATCATCTGGAATATAAACTCTTATAGCACTTATATCTCGTATTAATGTATGTTGAATTGGAATAACCTTAAAAGAATTTTGTTTTACAAAAAAAGAAAAACCAAAAGATAATAAGAAAATCTTACTTTCATTTCACCTCTT